CCTCCATGTTATATGTTTCACGGCTTCATCATTGTTCTTCACCGTTGCGTAGTATTCCATTGTGTGGATATACCATAATTTGTTTATCCATTCGTCCGTTGACGGGCACCTAGGTTGTTTCCATATTTTTGCTATTGTGAACAGTGTTGCAATGAACATGGGTGTGTATATATCTATTCGTGTGACGGCTCTTATTCTACAGGATATATTCCAAGGAACGTGATAGCTGGATTATATGGTACTTCTATTTCTAGCTCTTTAAGGAAACGCCAAATCGATTTCCAAAGCAGTTGTACCATTTTACATTCCCACCAACAGTGTATAAGTGATCTAGTCTCTCCACAACCTCTCCAGCATTTATTATTTTGTGTTTTTTTGGATTAATGCTAGCCTTGTTGGGGTGAGATGATATCTCATTGTAGTTTTCATCTGCATTTCTCTAATGGCGAATGATCATGAGCATTTCTTCACGTGTCAGCTGCCTGGATATCTTCTTTGGTGAAGTGCCTGTTCATGTCATTTGCCCATTTTTTGATTGGGTTGTCTTTTTGTTGTTGAGGTTTTGCAGTATCTTGTAGATTTTAGAGATTAAATGCTGATCAGATTTGTTGTAGCCAAAATTTTTTTCCCAGTCTGTAGGTCTTTTGACTCTTTTGGTGAAGTCTTTTGATGAGCATAAGTGTTTGATTTTTAGGAGCTCCCAGTTATCTAGTCTCTCTTCTGATACTTGTGCATTACTTATGGTTCGTATTGTGTTTATGCCATGTATTAGGACTCCTAGCATTGTCCTTATTTTTTCTTCCATGATCTTTATCATTTTCACTTTTATGTTTGATCCATTTTGAGTTACCTTTTGCGCATGGTGTGAGGTATGCATCTTGTTTCAGTTTTTTGCAGATGGATATCCAGTTATGCCAGCACCATTTGTTAACGAGACTGTCTTTTCCCCAATTAATGGACTTTGGGCCTTTGTCAAATATCAGCTGCTTATAGGTGGATCCAAGGCAGTAAGTCTTTATGCACACAGACTGCCTTATCTTTCTCCTATGACTCAGTTGGTGGGTTTGAGCCGCTGACCTTTCAGTTAGCAGGTGAGCGCTTAACCACTGCACCACCAGGGCTCCTTTCCATATTGAGTACTTGGGAAAAGTAACCTAGAGTAATAAATTCCAACACATATCCAAGAAAAACCATTAAATTTCTGAGATAAATTTAAAATAATCGACTCCCAGTCAAAAAGATCAAGTAACTTACAAAACCCACAAATTAGACTAGCATCAGGCTTTTCAAAAGTAACACAAAAAAGAACAGAATAAATTTTTTAAAAGAACTTAGTGATGGTAAGCATGACCCAAGGACCCTATATCCAGCCAAGTTGTCCTTCAAATATCAAGGGCATAGGAAAATTTTTCAACATACAAGCATATAGGGAATTCTGCACCTATCAATCCTTCTTGAGCCTTAACAGAGGATGCATGTCATCCAACCCACGGACAATCGGGAAAGTTTCAGTCAACAGACAAATGGTGAACATTTAAATATATATGAATACACATGAGACTAAAGCAAAGGTGGGGATAAAGTTAGGAGACTAATATAGAAATGTTACAAGTTGTAACAAGGTACAAATAATATAAAATTGGAGAAGGGAGATGGAAAAGTTGAATAAGCTCACTGATGTACTGGCAATAGGAAGTCACTCAAGGATACAAAAAAAAAACCATGATAAATAAGATAGTAAAGGGTTAAATAATAAAACAGGAAACTATGGGCATTAAGGAGCCCTGGTGGTGCAGTGGTTAAGAAAAGATTGGCAGTTCAAGTCCACCAGCTCCTTGGAAACCCTGTAGGACAGTGCTACTCTGTCCTATAGGGTTGTTATGAGTTGGAATTGACTCAACGGCAACTTTCTTTTTTGCACAGGCATTAAAAATGGAATAAGCACAAAAATGAAAATAAATATCCATGAGTCCATAATGATATAAAGTATTGAATACATATATATGTAAACACGTGGGAGAAAAGTGAAAAACCTCCCTTTAAGAATTCCAAATACTTTATGTAGATACTCTGACCTTGAAGATATGAGACTTAAAGCCCTGCTTGGTAAGTGTGGCCTATGCCCATAGTGACTTCCAAAGAGTACAAAATGGAAAGCGAGGGCTGAAAGGAGGAAGACTTAACTTCACAACGGAGAAACTTGATAAACATTTCCCCATCCAGGTGATCAAGGTCAACAGTGATGTCATATTCATAGTATCTACCCTTCATATAATGGGCTCAAACATAGCAACGATTGTGAGGATGACAGAACGGGGCAGTTTTGTTCTGTTGTACACAGGATCTCTATATGACTCAAAACTGACTTGATGGTAACAACCACTCTTCATGTGATGTGATGAAAATTGCCCTTTACTTCTGTGGTCTTCCTCGCTAGAACTCATGACCCCAGCCTAATAATAAGCAATAACATCACATGAACAGAGGGACATTCTACAAAATACCTGACTCATTCGCCTCAAAACTGTCAAGGACATGAATAACAAGGCAAGTTGGCAAAAAGGTTTTTTGTTGTTCTGGGCCATACACAAAACTGGCAGTTTTGCGTCACCCAGTAAATGAGTAGAATGCTCAAATTTGGTATATGTAACCTCCATAATCTAAGATTCCTATCAAGTTGAGACCTCTTTCTTTTGGTTGGCACTACAGGGTGTCACAACTTGTTGCACACATTATAAGAAGGTATCTCATTGTGTTCTCAGACATCTGAAACCCTAGAAACAAAAACTAGTGAATATTGGTCCATGAAATTTCACAGCATTGATATCCCACCATCCGACATGTAGCAGTCTGGGTTCTACTCTGGGAAAGATCTGGACAGTTGATCTGTCCATAACACAGTAGAATTACACTCTGGTGCCTGCCAGGTAAATGAAATTGATCCTCATTATATCAATTTGGTAAAAAGCATTTGATCGGCAAATGCATTTTTTAAATCAATAGCTGCACGTCAGATACCAGAGAACTGGTTCATATGCACCAATAGGTACCACAGCTGGGATAGGTGATTTAACATCCCAACCTAATGAAGGAAAAAAACTTATGTCCACAAAAACTCTACACAAATGTTTATAGAACCTTTATTCACAGTTGCCAAAACCCAGAAGAAACAAAGATGTCCTTCAATAGGTTAATGGATGAAAAAAATCTAACCTTTAGTTTTATATATTTCTGCAAGTAAACCATGACTTGACATTAATACTAATGGTGAATGTACGAATAAACAGTCATAAAAATAGCAAAACGTATCCTTCTATTCCTAGAATATGTTCATTGAGGTTAATATTGGAAGATAAAATGTGACATTAAGTATAACATAAATGAGTCAAGATAGCAAATTGCTGTGATGAGATTATTCTGAAACGGGTATCAGATAAAATTTCCTTGGTTACATACCTTTGTTGACAAATTATCATCACATGTACTTTGTAAGAATGAACATATAACAATTAAGAATTGAAAACTGGACTTCCACTCACATAGGACAGAATTCACAAGCACATATTAATAAAGTTGGCAGAAACTTTTGACGAAACTGAGGCCGTTGTATCCTCTGTATCTCAATATCCCCTCAAACTACCAGTGTGGATTTGGATTAATTTCCTCCTGATCTTCTAAGCATGCTATCTTCACATTTACTGATAAAACAGGACATCTTCATTAAGAACCAATGTCACTGAACTGTACACGTAGATTGTTGAATTGATGTATGTTTTGTGTATATTTTCACACAATGTATTCACACAGTAAAATCTGCAATTTTAAGGGTAGCTCCATGAGTTTTCATATATGAACATTTATGCCACTACTATCAAGATACAGAACACTGCATTGCTCTAAAATACTACTGGGGTCCCATCTGTACTCCATTAATATGAGCTATGTAAGTGTGGGCAAGAATGCACTGTGATTAACTTATTTCACTTGTATGATAGGAAGGATGACTGGGGGCAAGGAAAGCTCAAATGAGAAACAGATTGCCAAATAACATCGGTTTCTGCAGTGCTGCAAGAACATAACATGGAAGAAGATTGGATAGTTTAATCTTTAATAAAACAGAAAACAGTTGTTTTCTTATCTATCTAGTGCTGGAAGTCTATATATATGTAAATGATACTTTGAAAAAGGAAAATATCACTTTAGGTCTTTTGGATTATTAAAACAAGCTTCCACCTTCTCCTCACTAAACTGACTAGCTGCTGCATCTCTAAGTTTTAGCTCCACTCAATTCTTTCTGCCTTCTAGATAAGAACTTTTGATTTCTAACCACATTCATGACCTGAAAGCATCTAATCCAGTGGAAAGCCTGGCTCACTTGAACACTTACCCAAATCACCACCAGATGTCCAAATTTGATGACTTTTTATAAATCCATTGACTGAAACATTCTACAGTCCTTTATAACGTGTTTATTCTAATTGCTGTAACTCAATACATCTAATTATCTTTGGCTGCAGGTGTGATCCTGAAGGCGTCTGTCCAGAGAACACTGACCAAACCTTTTTTTATTATTAACAATGGATAAGAAATTATTTGAATAACACATATCGTTAGTACAGAATAAAAAAATTTACATAAAAATGAATGTATATACGGATATTTGGTAATGTTGACTCAAAATCTGTTATAATTGAAAAATTACACTTAATTTGAAATTCATAACTGCAATAAAATCTTTTCATATATCATGTCCAAAAAACAAAAACCCATTGCTGTTGATTCCCACTCATAGTGACCTTATAGGACAGAGTAGAACTCCCCCATAGGGTTTCCAGAGTGCCTGGTGGGTTCAAACTGCTGACCTTTTGGTTTGCAGCTGTAGCTCTTAACCACTGCACCACCAGGTTTAGAATAACATTTGTTAGTATATAACTGATTTGAAGAAAATAATAGCGTACTTCTAAGAAGTATCTACATATTGTTTTTGGGGAAAATACAGTTTTTAATGACACAGAATCATACATAATAACTGAACACATACAGAGGGATTGTATTCAGCTGTATCAGAAAGCTCCCCATGTCTATCCTATATGACAATGATGCTTGTTTGCATGTGGAAAGACAGGGTCAGCACACACTAAAAAATCTGGTAGGATAACAAATGTGGTAGGAAAACAAAATACTGTGTGGATTTCTAAAAAAATTTTGTTACACCCACTCCTCCCTTATCAACATGGTTAGATTCCAATGACCAGGTCATTATGCAGAAATTGGCATTATGTGAAATACTCGACAGTCCCGGGCTGGTCCTCGCTCTGCTTGCCAGAATCCAAATCCATGCTGCAGGCTGCTGGCCAGGTGTCCTCAGTCACCTGGCATCCCAGCTCAGGCTCTGCAGTGATCTGGTGCAGTAAGCAGGGCAGCACAGGCTGGGTGGTACATGGTAGCTTTGGCCAGAGTGTGGCTCCACAGACATGAGTGCTGCCCACCACCTGTGCCCCATTCCTGGTGCCCACGAGGTGAGCATGGGGCAGAGTGAAGCATGCGGGATAGAGCCAGGAGGGAGGGAGGTGTGAGTCAGGAGAAGCTGGACTGTTGGTCACCCTGCAGATTCCAGAGTGAGATTAAATACCCTAGGGGCGGTGCTACTCCTCTTTCGGTGCACCCTGGACGAGCTGTGCATGAGGAGGGTGCTCAGGTCGGTGGGATCATTAATGCTCAAATTATTGTTGTAAATGTAAAATGTCAGATGAGATAGTTGATGTAAGAATTACAGATGCATATGTAACAAAACCCATCTGTATGGTTTATTTATGTTTTTGGTTTCACATTGTAGCTGTCGTGGTAACATCAGGAACACAAAACCACTTGAAATGAAGAAAACAAGGTGTTCGCTATACAAACTAGACCTTATAAAAACATACTAAAATATATAGAAGAGTCAGAGCAGCAGAAAAGATGAGCAACCATGACAGTCTAAACAGTGGCCTGGAGAACACACTACCATTTGCAGGGAAATCAAATTGGTTGTCTCATCACAGAAGTGGACTCCCTGATGCCAAGCTTGTGGAGATGTCTTTGGAAGGCTATACCTTTGAGAAAAATGGAAGCCAAGCAGTTGTTTGTTTTGAGGATACTCTTGAATGGCAGGGCCACAAAACAGGAAAACTAGCTGAGAACTGGTAACCATAAAAGCGCCTGTGCATGTGCCTCTCTCCCTGCACTGTGGTACAAAACCTCAGCAATACCCTCCTCACTTGTGTTTTCCAAATCTCATGCAACTGGGCTATTAGTAGGCTTGAACATGGAACCATACAGGGAAGGGATTCTGGTAAATGTAATTTCCAATATGACTGATGCTGAAATAACGAAGTTTGAAAATAACAATTCACTCCTTTAGAACAACTTTGCATAATTATTAATTTCTACCAAGTACCAGCCAGGAAAATGGAATAAGGCCTCTCTGGCAACTAAAAAAAAGCTCTCCCAGTAAGGAAGAATGTAAATAATGGGTGACAGATACCTAGTACCTACCACACTAGGCCTATAAGTAAATCCAAACAAATACCAAAGTGTCATAGTACTAATAATCGCTTACTTCCAGAACAATTTTAAAAACTTCATGAAAATTAAACCTAACTGCTTATTAAAAATACCATTCAAAATACCCAGGGATCCAGCAGACTTTAAACTTCAAAGGTAAAAGATTAACTTAATAATAAGAAAAAATACTACCTGGGAAAACTTTTGTATTACAGCTAAAAGATTACCTACAGAATCCTTTCTTACCTTAATACTTATTTCTTAAAAAACTAAAAATAAACTCCAATGGATTCACTTTAAGGATAAGGTACTGATAAAGGGAATGTTACATTTATAACTTTTATAAGATTCTTCTCCTGGTGTGAATTTGTAAAAGCATTATACATGAATTAGTTTTCAGAAGGCATTCCCACATTACGTTGCTAGTGTTCCACTCTACTGTGTGTTCTCACGTGATATCGTAAGGCTGAGGAAGAAACAAAAGCCTTTCCACATTGCTTACATTCATAGGGTTTCTCTCCAGTGTGAGTCCTCATGTGTTTTGGTAACGATGAGGGACACTTGAAGGCTTTCCCACATTGTTTACATTCATAGGGTTTCTCTCCAGAATGCATTTTCACATGTCGTCGAAGGTATGACAGCTGATTGAAGCCTTTCCCACATTGTTTACATACATAGGGTTTCTCTCCAGTGTGTGTAGTCATATGTGCCCGTAAAGATATGGACCAATAGAAGGCTTTCCCACATTGCTTACATTCATAGGGTTTCTCTCCAGAGTGCATTCTCATATGTGCTCGTAAAGAGATAGACCAGTTGAAGGCTTTCCCACACTGCTTACATTCATAGGGTTTCTTTCCTGTGTGCATTCTCATATGTATTGTTAAAGATGAGGCCCACTTAAGGGTTTTTCCACATTCCTTACATTCATAAAGTTTCTCTCCAGTATGCATTCTCACGTGTCTTCGAAGGTAGAAGAGTTGATTGAAGCCTTTCCCACACTGCCTACATTTATAGAGTTTCTCTTCGCTGTGAGACCTTTCATGCCTTCGAAGGGACTGGAGATAATAGAATGCTTTGCCACATTCCTTGCATTCATAGAATATCTTGCCAGAGTGCTTTGTCATATGCTCTCGCAAGGATATAAGCCAACTAAAGGCTTTCCCACAATCTTTACATTCATAGGGTTTGGCTCCAGAGTGTGTTATCAAATGTCTCCGTAAGGAAAAGTGCCAACGGAATGTTTTCCCACACTGATTGCATTCATAAAGTTCCTCTACAGTATGCACTCTCATATGTCTTTGTAAGCATATGGGCCAACTGAATGCCTTCCCACATTGCTTACATTCATAGGATTTCTCTCCACAGTGTGATCTCCTATGTGTACGTAACGATATAGGCCAAATGAAAGCTTTCCCACATCGCTTACATTTGTAAGATTTTTCTTCAGTGTGTGTTCTCATATGTGTTTGTAAAGATATGGGCCATTTGAAGGCTTTCCCACATTGCTTACATTCATAGGGTTTCTCTCGGCTGTGCGTTCTCATATGTCTTGTTAAAGATGAGGGCCACTTGAAGGCTTTTCCACATTCCTTGCATTCATTGAACTTCTCTTTATTGTGAGTCCTTTCATGCCTTTGATAGGAGTCGAGAAAACTGAAGGTGCTTCCACATTGTTTACATTCATAAAGTTTCTCTTTACTATGAACCTTTTCATGCCTTCGATAGGATCGGAGATGAATGAAGGTTTTCCAGCATAATTCACATGCATAAGGTCTTTCTCCACTGTGAATTCTCACATGCCTTCTTAATTCTGATGGAAAACCAAAGCCCTTCCCACATTCTGGACACTGATATGGTTTGTGTCCAGCATGACTTGCGATGTGCCTCTTAAATGAGGAAGGATACATAAAGACTTTTCCACACTCAGTGCATTCAAATGGATTGTTTCTAGTAGTCGTTTTCTTGTATAGATTAAGATTTGGAATCTGGCTGAAGGTTTCTCCCCATTGATGACCTTCATTACTTTCACAGAGTCTCAGAACCATACAATCTCTGTTAAAACACAGAAGCGTATTATTAACATATTAATGATTTAATAGTATTTGTTAATAACTATTGGCATTCAATTATAACCCTTTCTGTAATAAACATAGACTTTCCCAATTTTCTACTCTATGTGAATTGTTTGAAAGTGAAATAAGCTGAATGTTTTGAAAGAGGACTTGACCCATAGTCATTTTTAAAAGTGTTTCTTACATATATGGAGTTTTTAAAAATCGTTTCCAACAGAATTATGTTTCAATCAATCAATGTCTAAGCCACATTTAATGAAAAATTTGCGGTGTAAATTTCTTGCGAATAAACAAAGATGGAGCTAGGTATACCTGGGTTTTGTTGTTATTTGCATGTTTTTTAAAAATTTCATTAAATACTAAGTTTATCTCCTGGGATACTGTGTTCTCTTGTGTGTGCTACTCACCGAAGAAGCAACCCCTGGTCTTTAGGCTGATCTTCAATGCTAAGGCCTTCTGAAATTTTTCCTAAAATGGAGGACCAAGAATCATTTCTTGTAAACTTCAGTATTTTATCTTCCTTGGATATTTTTTTCTCATGAGTATCTCGTTGAGAAACTGACTCATTGGCCTTAAATGGAGTCTCATCATCTGAAAGCAAAAAGTGAACAAATCTTACAAGGAAGAAGGCTCCTGTCAGCAATAATAATAATAATAAAAAATACGTTGAGTTCAGGTGTGTAAAGACTTCATCAATAACAGGCACAAGGGGTCAAAATGGAAAGCAGCTTCACAGACACAGTAAAATTCTCATAAAGTTTTCAAAAGCAAACTTCTCTAGGCCCCAAAATGACCTGTGAAGCCTATATCCACATGGTGACAGTAAGGGAGACACAAGTGTTTTAACCAACACAAAAAGAAAAACTCATTTTAATACATAGATTTTCATTCTTATGGATAAACAATGAGATTCTACCTATTATAACGCTGGTAACCATGTCTGTCTTACTGATCAATATATTCATCTTTCCAAATTTTGGAAAAGTCCTAATGAGCAAAAAATGTTCTCTAAATAACAAAGTGAAAAAGTAATGTCATCTTACCTACTGATGCCAAGTTCCTAAAAGTTTCCAGCATCACATCTCTGTAGAGCTTCCTCTGAACAGGATCCAGCAAAGCCCACTCCTCCAGAGTGAAGTCCACAGCCACATCTTCAAAGACGACTGATTCCTAAAACATATGCCTTATGTATGGAGGAAGATAGGTGAAGCAGACAGCACTGGGGACTGAACCCAATCCATAGGAAGTTGAAACAAGATTCTGGGATCTCCTAACAACTACCCTATGCCTCAGTTATCAGATCTCTTACTCTGTTTACACACACTAACTCACAGATTAAATAGCACCACTAACACAGAATTTGTCTCTACATTTTCACTGTGACCACTAAAAGTCTTATTCCTCTCTATCAGAAGGTTTCAGCATACAATGGAGGAATGAGAATTATACAAATGAAACAACTCTTTCCATTTTAAGACCATCACTGCCTTGTGAAGAAACTATTTCATCTGCTTCCCTACTGCTCATATCACTCAGCACTACAGGAGGCACAGGATTAAACCTAGATGATGTTTTAAGAAATAAAAACACTTTGAAGGACTAGCAGTTTTTTCCTCTATTTTCTTCACCAAATGTGTGAGGCCAAGAGGGCTATGGGAACCCAACTTGCAACAACGACCAGCAAGCCATAATACCTTTAAAACACCAGGCCATTAGAGATGGAAAGGTCCAACCAGCTAAATGAAACTCTCTTTTTGAAGCAATATTAATTTTGATTTATTGGTGTAAGAGTTATCACAAGCTCAGTATCTACCCTTCCTCTTTGTGCCATTTCATGGAAATAGGATGTTATTGAGAAGTCAGACTCAGAAAAGAAAAAAAAATGATAATTTAGAAACCCACACAATTCCCTACACACCTGAGCCTTGGTGCTGCTGTCCACCCAATCTTGAGTACACACACACACACACACACACACACACACACATTCTTTCACACACTAAGGTTATATGATGCCTCAGAGCTCCTTCTGCCAGAGCCATAAAAAAGTACTGTGACTTTGAGGCAGAGGTTATGAGTCCAACTCTGGTAAGAAGTTAACTGAAGTTCAAAAACACTGGACTATGAATTTTGTAGGATAACATACATAAAAAGTTAGCAGTGCTTTTCTCTAAAAAAACTTACTCCCTGCCTTAATTTCCAGAAAGAAGTGATTCCACAGAGCCACTCTAGAAGGTGTACTCCCAACTTCACTAATTTCCACACTCGTTGAACACACAAGCCTGACACTCCAACCTCTGAACACAGGAACCATTGTGTGGCATGGTCCCCCTAAATACTGGTTTCTGAAAAAGATCATCAGCCCATTTGCATTCATAAGCAGGGAAAAGAGAAAACACTACCATGCAGAAATTCTGATGCTAGAATTTACATACTCAGAAAAGCAAAAGCAGTATAGCAATACCTCTATTGTTGGTACACTGTGAAATGAGCTGCCTAGGTCAGCCTTAATTATTGATGGTAAAGCTATCTTAGACATTCTAGTAAGAAAGTTTCATTATCCAGTGCACAGAAAAGGAAGGGTTAACAAAGACATAGGATTCTGTATGCATACAAAGTCCTGTTGGCAAAGTTGGATCTTGGTTATTGTGTAGGAACTTGGATTTCAGGCTGGTTCCAACCACCATGCACCTTAAGATGGCTCACTGTATCTAAACTGTTTATGCACACGATATGGTTACTGCTGAATCCCTGCTTTCCTAAAAAGAGTCTAGAATTTTGGTACATGCCAGGCAGAAGGTGCTTATATGATTGTGAATAATAATCCTGGAACTGTGTCTCTAATAAACCGTCCTCTTGTACATTTCACACCTATTATCATAAATCACTGCTAGAGAAATGAAGTAAAAACTGGGTGATTCTACTGCGAAATGACTGAAGACTTCACCTGCTGAACTATATACTTAAACGTAGTTAAAATTACAAATTGTGTGATATATATATGTATATACACACACACATATACATATATATGTACGTATATTTATGTTCTTGTTGGGTGCCATTGAGTTGGTACCAAATCATAGTGAACCTATGTACAACAGAACAAAACACTGCCTGGTCTTGCAACATCCTCACAATCCCTGCTATATTTGAGCCCATCATTGCAGCCACTGTGTCAATCCATCTTGTTGAGGGTCTTCCTCTTTTTTGTTAACTCTCTACTTCACCAAGCATGATGTCCTTCTTCAGGGACTGGTCCCTCCTGATAACATATCCAAAGTACTTCAGACAAAGTCTCACTATCCTCGCTTCTAAGGAGTATTCTGGCTGTGCTTCTTCCAAGACAGATTTATTCATTCTCATCCACGGTATATTCAATATTCTTTATCAACACTATAGTTTAAAGGCATCAATTCTTCTTTGATATTCTCTATTCACTGATCAGCTTTCATATGCATAGGACGCCATTGAAAATACCATTGCTTCATTCAGGTGCACCTTAGTCCTCAAAGTGACATCGTTGCTCTTCAACACTTTAAAGAAGTCTTTTGCAGCAGATTTAGGCAAGGAAATAACTCCTTGGATTTCTTGACTGCTGCTTCCAGGGGCATTGATTGTGGATCCAAGTAAAATGGAATTCTTGACAACTTCAGTCTTTTCTGTTTATCACGATGTTGCTTATTGATCCAATTGTGAGGATTTTCGTTTTCTTTCTGTTGAGGTATAAGCCATACTGAAGGCTGTAGTCTTTGATTTTCATCAGTAAGTGCTTCAATCTTCCTCGATTTCAGGAAGCAAGGTTGTGTCATCTGCATATTGCAGGTTGCTAATAAGTCTTTCTTGCAATCTGATGCCTCATTCTTCTTCATATAATCCAGTTTCTGGGATTACTTGCTCAGCATACAGACTGAATAAGTATGATAAAAGGATGCACACCTTCCCTGATTTTAAACCACACAGTATCTTCTTGTTCTGGTCGAATGACTGTATCTTGGTCTATGTACAGATTTCTCATGAGTACAATTAAATGTTCTAGATTTCTCATTTTTTCAGTGTCCAGATTTTTTTATGATCCACACAGTCAAATGACTTTGCACAGTCAGTAAAACAAAGGAAAACATGCTTCTGGTATTCTCTGCTTTCAGCCAAGATCCATCTAACATCAACGATGACATCCTTCATTCCATGTCCTCTTCTGAATCTGGCTTGAATTTCTGGCAGTTCCTTGTTGATGTACTGCTGCAACCATTTTTTAAATTATCTTTGGCAAAATTCTACTGACCTGTGATATTAACGATATTGTTCAATAATTTCTGCATTCTGTTGGATCATCTTCCTTTGGAATGGGCACAAATATGGATCACTTCCAGTCAACCATGTAGCTATCTTCCAAATTCCTGGCATAGACGAGCACCTCCAGTGCTGCATCCATTTGTGAAACATCTCGGTATTCCATCAATTCCTAGAGCCTTGTTTTTCACCAATGTCTTCAGTGCAGCTTCGATTTCTTCCTTCAGTACCATCAGTTCTTGATCATGTGTTACCTACCTCCTGAGGGTTGAATGTCGACCAATTCTTCCATCTTCTTTTGATGCTTCCTGTGTCGTTCAATATTTTGATTCCTGAAGTGTTGCCACTGGAGGCTTGAATTTTTTTTCAGGTCTTTTGGCTTGAGAAATGTCGAGTGTGTTCTTCCCTTTTGGTTTTCTAACTCCAGGTCTTTGTACACTTAATTATAAAACTTTATTTTGTCTTCTTCAGCTGTCCTTTGCAATCTTCTATTCAGTTCTTGTACTTCATCAATTCTTCTGTTTGCTTTAGCTTCTCTACATTCAAGAGTAAGTTTCAGAGTCTCTTCTGACATTCATTTTGGACTTTCTTAACTGTCATTTTTAATGACTTTTTGCCTTCCTCATGTATGACGTCCTTGATACCATCCCATAACTCTTCTGGTCTTCAGTCATTAATGTTTCATGAGCCAAATCTATTCCTGAGATGGTCTCTAAATTCAGATGAGATATACTCAAGGTCATATTTTGGTTCTTGTGGACTTGTTTTAATTTTATTCAGGTTCAACTTGAACTTGCATATGAGAAATCTGCAGTTGGCCACTGGCCTAGTTCTGATATTCAGCTTCTGCATCGTTACCTTCCACAAAGGTAATTATATACCTGTGTATTCCACCCAGTGAAGTCTATGTGTACAGAAGCAGTATATGTTGTTGAAAAAAGGTATTTGCAATGAATAAGTTGGTCTTGCAACATTCTATCATGAGATCTCCGGCATCGTTTCTATTACCAAGGCCATATTTCCTACTACTGATCCTTTTTGTTTCCAAGTTTCACATTCCAGTTACCAGTAAAATTATCAACACATTTTGATTGTATGTTTGATCAATTTCAGAATGTAGAAGTTGGTAGAAATCTTCAATTCCTTCATCTTTGGCATTAGTGGTTGGTGTTTAAATTGAATAATAGTTACACTAACTGGTCTTCTTTGTGGGTGTATGGTATTTGTCACTGACAGCGTTGTACTTTAGGGTAGATCATGAAATGTTCTTTTTGATAACGAATGGGACACCACTCTGCTTCAATTTGTCCTTCCTGGCATAGTTGACCTATGAATGTCTAAGACAAAATGCCCAATACCAGTCCATTTCAGTTCACTAACACCTAGGATATCAATCTTTATGTGTTCCATTTCATTTTTGACAGCTCCAATTTTCATGCTTTCTACATTTTATATTCCAATCATTAATGGATATCTGCAGCTGTTTCTTCTTGTTTTAGTTGTGTTACATAAGCAAATGAAGGTCCCAAAAGCTTGGCTCCATCAACATCATTAAGTTTGACTCTACTTTGAGGAAGCAGCTCTTCCCCAGTTGTATTTTCAGTGCCTTCCAATCTGAGGGGCTCATTCTGGCACTATATCAATGTTCCACTGCTGTTCATAAGAATTTTACTAGCCAGTGTTTTTAGAAGTAAATCACCAGGTCCTTCTTCCTAGTCTGTCTTAGTCTGGATGAAAACTGCTCCCCATGGGTGACCCTGCTGATATTTGAAACGCTGGGTGCCACGGCTTCCAGCATTACAGCAGCATGTAAGCTACCAGAGTATGACACACTGACAGGCGAACTGTGATATATATAACACCACAATAATGTTTTG